TGGGTGAAGGGAGACGTTGGACAGGGCAAGATATGACAAAATAATAATTTATAAATTATCAAGGGCTCATGAGGGTGTGGGGAGCGGGGAGGGAGGGGAAAAATGAGGACCTAATGCCGGGGGCCTAAGTGGAGAGGAAATGTTTTTAAGAAAGATGAGGGCAATGAATGTACAAAGGCGCTTTACACAACTGATGTGTGTATGGATTGTTATAAGAGTTGTATGAGCCCCTAATAAAATGATTAAAAAAATTTTTTTTCTTTTTCTTTTAAATTAATTTATTCTTCTCTGGGTCATTGGTTTTCTTTTTTGTTGTCATCGTTGTGTTCTCTTTTGTCGCCTTGTCTTGCTGTGCCTTGCTTTTTGGTGCATATTATTGTCTCTGCAGATCTATCTAGATAAGATAGTCTGGGTGAGCAGTCTAAAGGAGAAAACAACAGGACCCATGGTTCTGGGGGGACACAGGAGAGGGGGAGGTGGGGGTAAGGAAGTGGTGTTAACAAACCCAGGGACAAGGGAACAACAAGTGATCCAAAAACAGTGGCAAGCAGGGTGTGAGAGGCCTGGTAGGGATTCAGCAAGGGCAATGTAACCAAGAGAAATTACTGAAACCCAAATGAAGGCTGAGCATGATAGTGGGACAAGAGGAAAGTAAAAGGTAATAGAGGAAAGAACTAGGAGACAAAGGGTATTTGTAGAGGTCTATATACAGGCATGTACACATGTAAATATACTTATACAGGATGGTGGCGAATAGATCTACGTGCATATATTTATAGGTTTAGTATAAAGGCAGCAGATTGGACCTCCACTCAAGTACCTACTCAATTCAAGAACACTTTGTTCTATTAAATTGACATTCCATGATGCACATCTTCCCAACACGATCACTGAAGACTAATGTGTGCAGAAGCAAATGTGGTAAAGAAAGCTGATGGTGCCCGGCTATCAAAAGATACAGCGTCTGGGGTCTTAAAGGCTTACAGGTAAACAAGCAGCCATCTAGCTGAGAAGCATCAAAGCCCCATGGAAGAAGCACACCAGCCTGTCTGACCATGAGGTGTAGAAGGGACTAGTTATCAGACATCAAAGAAAAAAAACCTCCTATCAGTGGGTGCCCACCTTCCCGATATGATGGCTGAAGACATATGGGTGCATAAGCAAATGTGGTGAAGAAAGTTGATGGTGCCCGGCTATCAAATGATATAGTGTCTGGGGTCTTAAAGGCTTTAAGGTAAACAAGCGGCCATCTAGCTCAGAAGCAGCAAAGCCCACATGGAAGAAGTACACCAACCTGTATGACCACGAGGTGTCAAAGGGATCAGGTATCAGGCATCAAAGAAAAAATCTTATCATTGTAAATCAGGGTGAGGGCAGAGTGGAGACCCAAAGCCCATCTGTAGGCAACTGGACATCCCCTTACTGAAGGGTTGTGGAGAGAAGAGCCAGTCAGGGTGCAGTGTATCAACGATGAAACATACAACTTTCCTCTAGTTCTTAAATGCTTCCTCCCCCTACTATCATGATCCCAATTCTACCTTACAAATCTGGCTAGACCAGAGGATGTACATTGGTACAGATAGGAACTGGAAACACAGGGAATCCAGGACGGATGATCCCTGCAGGATCAGTGGTGAAAATGGCAATACCTGGAGAGTGGAGGGAAGGTGGAATAGTAGAAAGAGGGAACCGATTACAAGGATCTACATATAAGCTCCTCCCTGGGGATAGACAATAGAAAAGTGGGTGAAGGGAGATGTCGGTCAGTGTAAGATATGACAAAAAAATAATAATTTATGAATTATGAAGGGTTCATGAGGGAAGGGAGAGTAGGGAGGGAGGGGGAAATGGATGTATGTATGGACTGTGATAAGAATTGTACGAGCCCCCAATAAAATGATTTTAAAAAATTACAGATCCACATGTCCTCAAAACTCATAATCCAAGGACATTTACTACAAGAGTTAAGTCAGCTTGAGGGCCCAGAATGAGTTGCTTTACCATGGTTATTACTGTTCCTTATATCAAGATGCATTTCTTTTGATATAAGGTTTAGCTCTCCACAGTGAAATTAATTCCTATAGCTCTTGCTCTAAGAAAACCGAAGATAGCTGTAGCATGAAGAAAAGCAGGTGGGAACAGATTCTGGTGTTTGTTACCAATTTTTGAAGCGCACCCCCTATGCCATCTTGCATGGGTCCACATCTACATTATCTACAGCTGACATGGTGACAGTTAAGCCCCAGCCAGTCCACACACCGTTTCTGCTGCTGAAGAGTGGTGCTGCAAGCAGAGTCTTGCTGTGCCAGCGCTCCTTGCAGTGTAGACATGATCCGCCCCTGCCTCAAGGGTTGGACATTTTCTTTACTCAGTTCCCATTCATCTCCCTCCAAAGACATGGCTTCACTGTGAAGAACGAAATAAAAAGCATATCTTATACCAACGCTGATATTATTATAGCAGTCGATTATTAAAGATGATTTCAGATAGGTGACTATTCATGATATGGGTCAAATCCATATACTCTTAAGCTTCTGAGCCTGTCTGTCATGTTGGTGGCTGTGGTACTGTTGGGTGAAAGAGAGAAATCGGTAAAGATCTTGGGGACAGGACGATCCATCAAACAAACTAAAGATTAGGGCATTAAGAAAAAAAAGGAAAAAGTGTAATATATTTGGTAAAACAGCTATACCTACCAGAGAAAGCATACCTAGCTTAATTTAAAATTAGTACAAGTGTTGGTCAAACTAGTACCCCAAGTTGCAGCTGAAACTGACATTTGTATATAGTCCAGAGGAGGAGGCAATAGTACAGTTCACTGGTCACAGCTGGCCCCACAAATTCTATCAGACACAATGAGGGGGCCCCACAAAGACTATTTTTGGGTGGGCAATCATCATGAAGGGCATGGACTCTGTACTTTGGAGCCCCTGGGTGATGCAAACAGTCACCACACTCAACTGCACACCAAACAAAGGTACAGCTTCAAATCTACTCAGAGGCTCCTTAGAAAGGCCTAGTGATCGGCCTCTGGAAACTCAGCTACTGAAAATCCAATGGAGCACATTCTGCTCTGACCCCGGGGGTGGCCGAGGCACAGCCAGCCTGCTGGCAGTCTATCTCACAGCTCTGCCGGGTCGGGTCAGACAGAAGCCTGCTTCTGACAAAGATGTTATCTCTGCGGGCAAAACATAAACCAACAAAGACCTATAAGCATGCCTCTTGGAAACAAAGCAGATTGCAGGGAATGTGTGAACTTAGTAGAGATGAAAGCTGCCAATTCTCTGCAAGACAGTAACTAATATATAGGGGCTTTAATTATGGATTTATTCCATTTAAAAGCAAAAGACATTGACAAGTGGAACCTCTTAAAAATTAAGTTCTTTCTTTTAATCACAAGACTTTATCAGAAAGTGAAAAGATAACCTACAGATTGGGAGAAACTTGCGGGAACCATAAAGGAGGCTTGCAATGCAAGCCGATCTTTTAATATGACTCGTAGCTACAGCCTTTGCTACTCCCACCACCAGATGACCTTCGTATTTCTTGATGGATCTGGTTAAGGTCGGGATTTTGATTCAGCTGTGATTGCTTACAGGGTTAATTGTGATTGTCATCTGGCTGAGTATAAAATGAACTATCTCAGAAGCAGAAGGTAGAGGTCTCACTACCAGCAAAAGAGCCAGGTGTGCAGTGCTCCTTTGGACCCAGAGATTCTTACACATTGAACCTCTGGGATGCAGGAGACAGTGCGGACCCCAGAGGAGTGGCACAGGTACAGCAGCAGCTAAGAACCAGGAGCCAGAGTATGAGGCAGAAGTGTGGCCTTCCCAGGTCACAGGGAAAGTAGTTAATTAGGAGCTGGGTTTTGCTGACCCTGGAACTGGAGCTGAGTACCTGCAGGTTGAAGGTGGTAGTGCAGTAGCATGCCCTTTGGGCATTTTTTTTTTTTTTTTTGGCAGCCCTAAAAGGTTTGTAATGTTGCCAATGCAGGGCAGAGGGCAGGCGAAGAGGCTGCAGACCAAGACCAGGGACGTCAGCTTGAACATGGAGCAGAAAAAAACACACCTGTATGCTGAGCATTTCTCACCTAACTGTAACCTGTTAACTTCCCAGGAATCGTGAGCACCGCCTCCAAGTTCTGTGTCGTCGTCCTTTTAATGAACTAGACAACCCAGTTGAAAAGTAAAGAGGGCTAATAGGGGGCAACTGGTCTCAGAATTGGTCCGGAAGGCTGGAGGGTGGGGCAGGTCTGCCCTCTGCCTGTGGTAATCAGCCCTGGGAGGCAGAGGGGGTCAGATGTGCCTTCAAGCACACTACATTGAGGCCTCAAGAAGTTTGGGGGAAAGTTCCATAATTTTTTAATTCCACCAACGCTTTGAAGCCCCCTCACATATCTGCTAAGGGCTGAAGAGCCAACATAGATTAAAAACTTTTACCACTTAACAACAAAAAGACAAAGCAACCCAATGAAACAAGGGCAAAGGCCTGGAACAGACACGCGACCCAAGAGGATACTCAACTAGCCAACAAGTACGTGAAGGAATGCTCAGTGTCATTATTTGTTGTTTGGTGGTGGCAAGATGTCAACTTGTGACTTCGGGTGACTGGATAAAACCTCCTCACAGGACTATGACTCTTGAGTTTCTGAGCCGTGAGCCAAACACCACCACCTTCTCACTGAAGCCTCCTGTCCACATCTTTCTAAAATTGCACCCCACCACCTCCAACATTCCCTTACCTACCTTCTTAGCTTGTTTGTTATTTCTAGCACTATCGTCTCACTTTTATTGATCTTATTATCCATCTTCACCCTCATTCTACCCAGAACTTAAGGCTCAGGACTTATAGGTCTTTTGTTGATTGGCTGCATTATAAATATTCATTGCATTGATTAGGCACATGGGCTACAAAATAAAAAGGCAAGCAATTCCAAAGACAGACACATAGACACACACACGTCTCTCTCTTCACAAGTTCATGGAAACATTCCATTATCTTTCAATTCCACTTTTCCATGGATTTTTTGAAGTTCTTTCATAGAAGTATGTGTGTGTGTGTGTACACACAAATGGCAAATCCACAGTTAACGAGTTGATTTGGACCCACAGGACCCTAGAGGGCAGAGCGGAACTGTTCCCGAGGGTTTCCAAGACAGTAAAATCTGTATGAGAGCAGGCAGCCTCCTCTTTCCTCCGCTGAGCGGCTGGTGGGTGCGAACCACCACCTGGTAGTAAGTGGCCAAATGCTTAACCCACGGTGTCACCAAGGTTCCCTATAGAGAGAAGCTTCAAAAACTTCGCGGGAAATTTTCATTATCCTTCCATCTCATTTTCCACAAATGTTTTGAGGCCTCCTCGGATGGGGCTCTGGTATCGCAGTGGGTTAAGCGGACTGCCAACCGCAAGCTGAGTAGTGCAAACCCGTCCACAGGGGAAAGACGAGGCTACGCCATGGACGCCCGCAGAGACCGCCAGGTCACTAAGGGTCGGAATCGACTTGGTGGCTGTGGGGTTTGGCTTTGGGTTTTCTATACACAAAACACAGAGAGATGAGCTTTTTCCAATGTCTCGCTGCGTTATTACTATAGTCACAGCGCCTTGCCATTGGGGGTGCTCCTGGTTGGAAGCAGTTGCTACAACATTACTCCGCAAATACTTGTAATTCTCCGAGGCTGCTCGCAAATGAAGGCACGCCCAAGGTCAAACAGCTAGCGAACGGCTAAGCTGAGAGCCAGGCCCAGACCCCGGGGCAAACCCCCACCTCCGCACCACGGGGGTCTCCCGGCCTCTCGGCTTTGAAGCAGGACGCGGCTGGATTCTCACGTGCCAGCCTAAAATCCGTGCTCACCGGCGTCTCCCTCTTCAGCCTGCTTCCGACGAGCAGGGGGCGGCTCCCGCGGGGCCGGCCCTGGCGTGCAGCGGCTCCCCTTGGCTACTCCGAGCGGTCGGCTTTCTCCCTCACCTCCGGGCCCCCTGGAGTCCCGCAGGCCCAGCTGGCAACAGCCACCCTCCGGTACTTACCTTCCGTCCCTCATCGCCGCCATCCTGCATCCCTGGCTCAAGGCCGCTGGCTGCCTTCTCCTGCTCCCTCCTTCTGCAACCTACCCTGAGAGGTGCCGAAGAGACCAGCGGGTGCTTCCCAACGCCCTCACAACGCAGCCATGGCTAGCCGCTGACTTTCAAATTTAACGGTCCCGCGCGAACGACGTGACTACGTCCCTCCGCGCCTCTGCGCTTGCGCCTCGCTCAAGGCATTCTGGGGCTTGTAGTTTATTCTCAGCTCCGTTCAGGCTCTCGCGGTGCCTAGTGGGAGCTGTAGTTCCTGGGGGCTGCTGGCTGATGGTGTATAAACTAAACCCTCTTTCTGCATTCTGGCTCAAGGGCGAAGCTCAGAACTCATTGAGGGACACTTTTAAGTACGATGATTTCCATATTATTTTAAGTGTAGTTTCTTCGGCCTGACTCTTTCTGGGATGCCTCACCAGGCTTTAACTGGGCTGCGTGACCTGGATGTTCAGGCCGCTCTGACAGCAACACTTTCCTGCCCAGCCCTGAATTCACACAAGCTAGATTTAGATTCTGCCCTGTCCCACCACACGTGCAATCTTAAGCAAGTCACATAACATCGCTGACCCTCAGTTTTCCTCATCCTTAAAGTGGCTGGTGATACTGTCTTGTGTTCCTTTCTCCATAGTCCGCAGGCAGAAAATACAAGCCAATGGCTCCGGGGGTGTTTTATGTCTCCTCGATCGCAATTCTCTTTTCGGGGGGAGGAGGAGAGTCCCTTATACAAATCAAGTTACCTAGGAGTCTCCCTCTGACCATCAGGATAGGGGAGAGGTGGTAGTTCCCAGAGTGCATAACAGGGAGTGGATGGCCATGACTTCCGACTCTTGGTTTCCAACTTGCTCCTTCCTCTGCATCCTCAGGACTCTTGATTGCTGATGACTGGAAAACCCATTTACGCTCAGAAAAGGAAATTTAATGTAAATTTGTAAATCTTGTAAATAAAATATTTACAAGAATATTTTGTAATATTCTTGTACTGAAGTATTCAGTACATGTTTTGTAATATGTACTGAAATCTTGTAAATGACATATTTCAAATGGCGTTTAACCCAGGACTGGATGATTCCATTTCTCCCCTTTGTTCTCTTTCCTATGGTGTACTGTCGTTCTCTGTGGCGTGGAAGAGTCAGTTCTTAATCTTCCCAGATTGGTGGATCCAGGCTTTGATGGGCTAGGCCAGGACTAGGGAACATTGACACCAGTTAACATCACACACCTCAGCAAAAAGAAGCAATTCCAACCATCACATTAGGAGTGAGTTAATTAAATGACCAAATAGATCACAGGCTAACTTTTTAAAGTTGATTATTTTTTGTATGGCCCCAAATTCTGATATAAATATCTAAATGACCCTTGGCAGAAAAAAAGATTCCCCAAGTCCTGGTCTAGGACATAGGTTCCCAATCTTATTTGGCCCACCACCCCCTTTACAGAAAAAAATACGTTACTCAACTTCCCCGTCAAAAATCAACATCAACACCAAAACCAAACACTGCTATCAAGTCAATTCCGACTCATAGGGACCCTTTAGGACATGGTAGAACTGCCCCCGTGGGCTTCTCAGACTTAATCTCTCTCATGGAGTGACCAGTGGTTGCAAACTACTGACCTTGTGATTAGCATGACCAGGACTCCTCTTTCGCCATCCATAGCCCCCCACCCCCTGCCCCACCTGCAATGAAAAAAATGTGTACTACTGCCCATTATCCAGGATAAGGTGGCAGGTGTCTGTTTTTGCAGCTCCTCTGGGGGCAGTACCTCCCACTTTGGGAAACACGTGTGACTCTAGGCCCAAACTCCAGGCTTCATTTGAGGGGTGAGGAAGTGCTGGTTCACCATAGGAAACTGATTCCTCTTACCTTCCAAATCCTCCTTCCATGCAGGAAGCCTTCCTGGCTTATGGGAGATGTAGTGAGATTCTCTCTGTCTTACATTTTCTCTTGCCTTGTCATACTGACCAATACCTCCTATCTTTTCTTCAGAAGAGTCTGTTCATATCCACCACTTCTCTATGTTCCCATTTTTACCACTCCCTACCAACCATTTTCAAACCAAACTCACTGCCGCTGAGTTGATTCTGAATCATAGCAACCCTAAAGGGCAGGGTAGAACTGTCCCTGTGGATTTCTAATGTAAATCTTATCAGGAACAGAGAGCCTCATCTTTCTCTAGAGGAGCAGCTGGTCGGTTTGAACCACCAACTGTGTGGTTAGAAGCCCAATGTGTAACTCACTACACTATCAGAGCTCCTACAAACCATCTTAGAAGTGTAGTATTTGTTCTGTTGATCTCAGTCTTTCTTGTAACCTAGTCTGGTTCCCTCCCCATCCCACCCACCAAGTAAACTGTATGTATTAGTCTGGGTACTTTGGAGAAACAAACCCACAGCAACTCATGTATAAGAGAGAGTTTTATGTAAAGAAAATGTGCATCATCATGAAAACATCCCAACCCAATGCTGCCCAAGCCCACAAGTCCAACATTAACCCATTAACCCAACACCAGTCCACAAAGTCCTCCACCTCACAAAACAGAGGCAATGATGCCGACTGCAGGAGGAAAGCCGAGTCAGTGAACGAACAAGCATCTCAGCACTAGCAGGGGTCTCCACACGGCTGCTCCACCATCCAGGGCTGCATCGGGATAGGTCCATGTAGCTTCTCCTTGGGGATGTCTTGTAGGAAGTCAATCTTGCAAGCTGAAGCAGGGAACTGCTAAGGCAGCTGCACCCAGTGCAACCATCACAAAACAAGAGACCCGAGAACTAGAAAGGCGAGGCTTCACCACCCATTTATCCCTCCGCCTTTCAACCAGCCCCACATGTGATTATCAGCCAGGCTGGCACAATTAACTAACTCACTGTACAACACAGAACATATTCAACATAAGCCCCTCCCTTGTGTCATCATATATGATGTTCTGTGTTCTTATTTGGAATATGTGTTCTTGTTAGGCTAGACTGTGGCTGGCGGCCATCCCAGGGCCCAGATGGTGACACAGGTTTCAACAGCACCCACCTGTGGCAGGAAGGTCAAGATTAAATTTATACACATTGGTAGTTGAAAGAGGAGCCCTGGTGGTGTAATGGACCACTTATTGGGCTGCTAACCGTAAGTCAGCAGTTTGAAACTACCAGCTGCTCCTCTGGGAAAAGAAGAGGTTTTCTGCTCCTAGAAAGAGTTGCACCTTGGAAACCCACAGGGGCGGTTCTATTCTATTTGACAGGGTCCCCGGGAGTCGAACTTGACTTGATGGCAGGGAGTTTGAGAGCACCTCAACCAGAGACAAAGAAGTTCAGGAGCCATGGAAGCTCATAGGAGAAACTTCCGAGCCAGTCTGGAAGTGAGAAGGAGGTCTGGAAACTTTTCTCGAGAAGATGGTGAATCTGAAGCACACGAGGTGTTGTGCTTACTATTAGCATAAACTATTAGCACAACTGTACGCGTTGGGTAGGAGCTGAAGTTTAGTCCACCTCCTCTCTATTCAGTCCTCTCTCCATTGAGTGCCTTCACCCTGGTCTCACCTCTTTAGACCCCACGCTTGCCCATCAAACCTATCCAAGGTGCCACTCTCTCTCCCACCTAACTGCCATACTGAAAACATGAGCAAGATCACACTGCAGATGTTCATATTCCAAAGGCTGTGTTTCTACATCAGATGCTAAGATGCTAATAGATGTTCCTGGGAAGTAGACGTTTGGGGCTTAACCTTCGTTTCTGCGATGCTAGGTTACCTTGATATGTTACCAAAAGAGTCCCTAAAACAAAACCAACACCCTGCCATCAAATGGATTCTGATTCCTAGCAACCCTTCTGTAGGGTTTCCGAAGCTGTGAACCTTTATGTGAGCACACCGTCTCATCTTCCTGAGGATCGACTGGCGGGTTTGCACCATGGGCCTTGCAGTTAGCAACTCAACACCTAACCCACTAGGCCATCAAGGCACCGTGTTGTTTTTGTTGTTGGGTGCCATAGAGTCCACTGTGACTCATAGTGACCTTGTGTACAGCAGAACAAACACCGAGTGGTCCCATACCAGCCTCACAATCATTCTCTGAGCCTATT